AAAAAAAAGTTAAAAGGAAAAAAATAATGCTACATGATTCAAAATCAGACTAAAAAATAGATCAAATAGGTATCAATACACTATTGCAGAGTTTGAAAATTTTAAAAATAAAACAAGAGCCAAACACAAACTGCCAACTTATTCTATTTTTTCAGCCCCTGTCCCTCACCCTGTTCAAGTGGAATTGTCCAAAAGAAAAATCACGTCTTTTAAAATGTAATTTTAGCCCATGTTTGTCCACCGTTAAAATAGAAAAATGAATCTTTTGAATAACATGTAATTAGAAGGTCGAAAAAAAGATTTATGTACAAAGTATTTTATTGTAAAAATGTGATTAAAAATTAGTTTGTAATTTTATTTGATTTTTTGAAATTGTGTTAAATTAAGGACTTAATGGACTACATGGATGATTTATGCTGACAGGTTATCAAATCCACCATCAAAGCTCCGATCCGTTACCATTTGCACGATCAAGAGAAGAACGTCAATCTAAGAATAATCTTCATATTGAACCAAAACAACACTAAAGTTTTGAACAAATAATTTTATTACAATTATGAGAGTCTGTAATTTAAAATTTTCTACTAGTTTTTTTAGGAGAATCATGTCTATAATTCTTGCACATTTTCAATTTAAAGCCACTTATTAAAACAAATTTATATTATCATGAACGTGTGCTCGCTTATTCCAATATATGTAAGACTTTTGCAAGAACGATCGACTGATAGGCCAGCACATGTGAAGTCTAAGCCCCCGCTTTACAATAATAATGACACGTTTGGTAAAGGAAAGAAGTTACTGTTCAATTGTATACGGTGTTCTATGCAAAACATGCCGTAAAAAGAATTTTAGATATACATGTACGGGAATTCGGCAGGGTAAATTTAGGACTGCTGCTGCCATTCCTGAATGGCATTGTAAAGAGCATTATTAGGAAGGAGATGAGTGTGTTCAAGCTTTAAATTTGTCATTGGTGAAGTCTCGTGCCCACTGTTAAACCATCCTTTTATGGCATCTCCTTCATATGTGAAACCATCCGCTGCTATATGTGGATCTTTCATGATTTCCTGCAAATTTTGAAGTGGGGAAAAAATGAAGCAAAATGAGCAGGAAAAAAGTTGAACCAAATCCTAGTAGAGGAAAAAGGAGAGAAGGGGAGAGGGAAATGAAGAAAAATGAGCAGGGAAAAAGTTGAACGTAATCATGGTTGACAAGAACTTCAAACTTGTCTTTGCTCTATCAATATCAGGTCGAAATCCTCAAAAGTTTCACAAGAAAAGATCAAGTCCCTATGGAGTTGGACCTTCATGAATGCAATTAGAAGTATACTCATCACCCAGGAGCATCAAACCATTGGGAGGATTGAACGATGTTGGATAGTATTAGGGAAGAAGAAACTTAAAACCTTGTTTGTTATCATCAAGTCATCCTATTGAATACTGGTCACCATAAATATTTAGCCCCTGAAGGTGAAATTCTTTACAGTACGACTTCAGACACCTTGTGCCAAGCAAGGTGTTGAAGAGAAGACTAATAACTAGAGCCACCATGTGTGAAACGAACATATGCAATTTAAGTTGAGCAACCACACAATGCAGATTATTACCTGAAATATCGGACAGACAAAATATGAAGGGATTCTGCGCTGGTCCTTGGAGTCCAATGATGATGAACAAGAAGTCGAGGATGACATAGTACATGAGTCTCGCATTGCCTCGAGTACAGCCCAGACTTCTGAATCGAGGTTCGGTCGTTCTGAACGCTTACTCTCACAGCACCATAGGGCTAGATGAGCTAATTGCTTTGCTTGGTCAACTGGCCAGTCCCCAGCTGATACGTCTAACACTTCATTCAAGTGTCCACTTTCGATAGCACATTTAACATCCCTCACTAAATCAAAGGCTGGTTTTGCAGTTAATAGTTGTAAAAGTACAATTCCGAATGAGTAGACATCAGATTCAGCTGTTAGCTCCCCATCATCAAAGATTTCCGGGGAGATTAATATTGCTGGATCGTTCTTTCTATATAATGTCTGATTACTAACAAAATTAGAGATTCCCAAATCACCTACTTTGCTAACAAAACTAGAGTCGAGAAGGACATTGGAGGACTTCAAATTTCCGTGTATGATGCAACTGCTGTTGGCATGCAAGAAGATAAGGACAGAGCAGATCTCTGTAGCAATTCTTATCCGATATTGCCATGCAAGAGGACGAGATTTGGTCCCACAGATGAGTTGGTCTTCAAGGCTGCCATTCTCAATGTATTCGTATATCAGTGACCTTGATGCTGGGCAGGCACCAATCAGCATTAC